AGAATTGTGCAATGCTGAATTTACCGGTATGTGACTGAATCCCACCCCAAAATAGTGACAGCCGGGAAGCATACAAAAATCACACATTTAACATTTCATGCCTGGGTATGAGGACATGGAGTTGAGCCATAGGCTGAGATCACACCTGAGGTTCTTGAGACAGGGCAGCTTCTCCCACTGACCCCTTTTTAACCCCCATCTGTCATGCAAATGATCAAGGGAGCCACATGGGTTGAGCTTGGTGTTACTTCTGCAGCCCCAGGGTTGGGGAAAGCTTAAATGCGGAATCTGATCTCTCCCTCTCCAAGCCACATTCAGATCATAAAAATACATTTTAAAAATCAGTCAAAAGTCCTTCCACCCACAGTTTCACTTAATACAGGTGCACCAGGATTCAGTCCTGAAGTAATTTGAGACCCAGGAGAAAAAATATCTGGCTGGTTGTATTTGGAAGCAAAATATTGGGGCCAATAGAGCTGGACCTTGTTCTGATCAAATAGGCCATTCTTATGAAATAATAACATAGCTGGGGAATGTCTTGTTTTGTTTTGTTTTTGCTTTGCTAGAGAAAGCATAATTTGCTTCTCCTTTACATATACAGTTGCAATCAAAATTATTTGAACCCCCATTGCAAATAGGGTTTTTTAAATCAAAATTTACAGACTTTCAGCTGTTTGCAATGAGCAAATCAGACAAAAGCAATTGAAATAGCTCAGCATAATGGATGCTTCAAGTGGTTCCCCCAAATTCAGCTGAAATTGCAACTTATACTGGCTTCTCCAGTCTCACTGTTATTCAACCCCCTACACAGAATCCCTCACAACAGCACCAATACAACTGGGGTTGTCTCAAGCACACCTGATGCAACTAATGAAGGGCTTTATTAGTTGCAACAGGCGTGTTTGAGTCGGACCGCCTTTTGTTTGATTGGCTCATTGCAAACAGCTGAAAAGTCTGTCAATTTTGATAATAAACCCTAATTGCAATGGGGGGGTGTGCGAACAATTTCAGTTGCAACTGTAGCTCTTAAAGGCAGAGATGACCAGTTAGAAAGAGGAAAAACTTTAGCTAGTAACCACAACCAGTCCCCAGCAGGATGTCCAGGTGGTGCAACAAGTTAGCGCATCTGGCTGTTAACCAGAAGGTTGGTGGTTTGAGTCCACCTAGGAAAAGCTTTGGGCAGGATTCCTGCATTGCTGGGGGTTGTACTAGATGATCCTAAGGGTCATTTCCAACTCTATAATTCTATGACACTGTAAAAAACAAAAAAAAGGACCAGAGAAGTGGGTAAAAGAGAACATGGATCTGCATAAAATGTGCACATGTTCATTTATATGCACATTTCGAAATCATTACTGTACTATGATTTGAAACTAAGATCATGGCCACTGGGCCCATCACCTCCTGGCAAATAGAAGGGGAAGAAATGGAAGCAGTGAGAGATTTTACTTCCTTGGGCTCCGTGATCACTGCAGATGGTGACAGCAGTCACGAAATTAAGACACCTGCTTCTTGGGAGAAAGGCAATGACAAACCTAGACAGCATCTTAAAAAGCAGAGACATCACCTTGCCAACAAAGGTCCATATAGTTAAAGCCATGGTTTTCCCAGTAGTGATGTATGGAAGTGAGAGCTGGACCATAATGAGGGCTGATTGCTGAAGAATTGATGCTTTTGAATTATGGTGCTGGAGGAGACTCTTGAGAGTCCCATGGACTGCAAGAAGATCAAACCTATCCATTCTTAAGGAAATCAGCCCTGAGTGCTCACTGGAAGGACAGATCGTGAAGCTGAGGCTCCAGTACTTTGGCCACCTCATGAGAAGACTCCCTGGAAAAGACCCTGATGTTGGGAAAGATGGAGGGCACAAGGAGAAGGGGATGGCAGAGGACGAGATGGTTGGACAGTGTTCTCGAAGCTACCAGCATGAGTTTGAACAAACTGCGGGAGGCAGTGGAAGACAGGAGTGCCTGGCGTGCTCTGGTCCATGGGGTCATGAAGAGTCGGACACGACTAAACAACAACATGATTTGAACAGAAATGCCTCACCACAGTGAGGAAGACGACTTGTGTGTCAGCTCTGTATAGTATACACACTATACTTTTGAAGCATTTTGCTTGCTCCTGCCCACCAAAGAATCTTGGGAACTGTAGTTTGTTAAGGGCATTGGGAATTGCAACTCTGTTAGGTGTACACTGCAGTTTCCAGGAGGGGTTTGTGTGTGTGCTTTCAATGTACAGTGTGTGTGCAGCTGTGTGGTGGATGGGCAACTTCAAGGCATCTGCTCTCCATTCTTGGGTTAAACCAGGGTTGGACTGGACAGCCCTTCAAACAGAAGACTGTCTTCTGACAGCCATTCAGCTAGAGAAGTGGCCTACGCAAAGTAGGACACACAGCCCCCCAAATCTCAACCCCTAATATTAGAGGGAAAGGTCTCTAGGGCACAGGACATGGCTTCTAAGCACGTATGGATCCTTGTTTCTTTAATTACAGAAACTAAACATCACTCTTTACATTCTTCTTTCCCTCTCTGCTTCAAAAAGTCCTCTTACGCCACTTTTATAATAATCACTGTTTCTCTCCCTGAACAGTATCCTTTCCACTAGCCGCTCAACCCTAGGTGTTTCTACTCAGAATGGAAATAGGGCTTTCTCTCAACTGAGTGTACCTATAGAGATTTATATACTTGACTGAAAGTCTACTCTGTCCAATACCTCTGCTTCCGACAGCGGCCAGCTGGATGCCTCTGGAAAGGTCACAAGGAAGGCCTAAAGGCGAAAACTGTCTTCTAGGGTTGTCCCCCAACAAGTGACATTCAGGAGTATACAGCCCCGGAAGCTGGAAGTTCTATTTATTAACCACTGATGGAACAATGTAGAGGGCTCTCTCCCCCCCCCCCACATTTTCTCTTTACAATGACCCTGTGAGGTAAGTTGGTTTTTGTAGTATTTGTGTGTTTTTTTCTTTGGAGGAGACCAGAGGCCAGGCAGGCAGGGTGCAGAAGGGCACCTCTTGTGGGGCTGTTTCCCTAGGTCCCCCATCCCACCACAGCAGTTAGCAGGGGACCCAACAACGGAACCTCCTGGGCCATCAAGAGGCCTCATACAAAGCCTCTGCACACCCCAGGAGGCTCCTCTGCCAGGGCTTTACTTGGTCTTAAACCGCATTACTTGTGTTGTGTTGTAATCCACCTTGGGACCTTAGGGTGAAGGGGAGGTATGTATTATTGATATTACTTCACCATAACATCCTAGGGCAGGCTGCTCTATAAAAATACAATACAGTTGTACCTGGGATCCCGAACACCTTGGTACTTGGATGTTTTGGTTCCCGAACGCCGCAAACCCGGAAGTGAGTGTTCCCGTTTGTGAACGTTCTTTGGAACCTGAATGTCCGATGGGGCTTCAGCAGCTTCCAATTGGCTGCAGGAGCTTCTTGCAGCCAATCAGAAGTCGTGCTTTGGTTTCCATACGTTTTGGAAGTTGAACAGACTTCCGGACAGATTCTGTTTGACACCCAAGGTATGACTGTATTAAAATCTGTTAAGATGATTTCCAATCAGAAGAATTTATTTTAACCGTATGTCGCTTTTGAGATCTTTCCGCCCAAGCTTTCCCTGACTCACAAGAATGGACCCTGTGGCACATGTTTGAATTTCCGTTTCATTTGCTTTTCTGCTTTTATATCGCTGCGTTACTCGTTTTAAGTTTTTGTCTCAAGGCCCTATTGTTTGTTTTCTGCACCAGTGGTTCCCCAATTGGTGGCCTGCGGACCCCAGGGGGTCTGTGGTGCCATTCATACAACAAAAGCAACCATAGAGATACCAAAATTTTCCAAAGTTGGGGGTCTGCAACACTTGGCTTATTGGGAACCAATACTTCTAGACCATACTCCCCTTAACAGCTTTTATTTTGAAAATTAAGTATACAATATTGAAAGCAGCAGGAGCAGCAGCTGAGACAGGCTGCCTGACCTAACATCGTCTGGGAAACGTCAGGGCTAAGCAAGCATTAGAACCCGGGTCTCTCCAGTCCAACACTGGAGCCACCACAACACAGTAGCCATTGATCCGAATTCCACAGCGGAGTGGCGAGTGTGCGCCTCTGTTGCATCTTCTTCTGCCTGTCCCAACTGCAGCCTTCCACCGCGCAAGCGGCGACAATCCCGACGCCCGACCCCACCGCGTCCTTTTCCTGCTTCTTCTCTTAGGCGCCGTCACGTGTTCGGGAAGAAGGCGAAAAAATAACAAACCAACCAACCCGCCACCTGGACGCGAGTCGACCCGAGACTCGCAGGCCGCAAAAAGGGCCCTGCATTGCGAAGCCCGGCGCCTCCCATCTTCCTTCCAGCGCGACCACTTCTCTCCTGGGCTCCCTTTTGATTTGGGGTGGGGGCGCGCGAAGACAAGACCCAACAGAAACGTGCCCCTGCCTCACTTGTGCTGGGATGAAAAAACCACCCGCCACCCCCCAAAGTCTCCTGATCTCTCTGCCCTCCCCCCCAATTCATGCAAAGGCAAGGAGGAAAAACTGGATTATGGAAATCTTCGCTTCTCGCTGGGCTCTGCGGACTAGTCCTGCCTGCTCACTTTGGGGAGAGGATCTGGAGACGAGGGCGTCCGGATCCAACCCTGAGCCTCCTCCTCCCTTGTTATAATGTGCAAAGAAAGGAAGGGGGGTGGTAGGACGGGGGAGGGGGCGGTATGCGAAAAAGAAAACCCTGCTTCGTTTTTCTACAACACGTCCCCCCTCCTCACCCCGACCTTGCATACGTTGCTGCAAAGCACGACACAAGAGAGTCATTTAAGAATGTGCAATGGGCTCCGATTACTGGAGGTTTTCCTCCCCCCGCTACTTCCAGCCATTACTTGCTGAGCTCTAGGGAGATCTTTATCAGCCTGTCTCTGATCGATTCCGAGAGAGAGAGGGATCTGCCTGCAGAGTCGAGGAGGAGGAGGAGGAAGAGGGAAGTGGGGCGGGGATAAGAGGGGCAGTCGCAGGGGGAGGGAGCAAGGCTGCGGGGGTTGCCAGAGCCCTCCTCTCCGCCCCCCGATCGCAGCCAGCCCTTTCTAGCCCCCGGCCAGCCTTGCTTGCGCTTGGGGAAGACCGACTTGGAGTTAGATTTTTATGCATATTTGTTTTCTCTTACCTCCCGCGCCGCCGCCGCCGTACCATCCGGCCCGATTCCCTTTCTGCTCGCTTTCGTTTTAAAGGACTCGAGGAGACGCGGAGGGGGTGTGGGTGAAACCCCCAAAAGGAACGAAGGAAGAAAAGAAAGCAAGCAGAGGGAAAATGGTGCATGATCGCGAAGGGGAGAGGGGCGATTTTCTCTCGTTTTGGGGGATCGAAGAGCTGCTGGTTCCCAAGAGGGCGCCCACCGACCGGGGCTAAGGAGTTCGCCTCTTCCCTCCCGTTCGCATTATAAACACTGGTCGGTGGTGGCATCCTGGCTCCTTCCCTGGAGGGACGGCTTCCCAAGATTTGAAATTCGTTGCTTCTCGGTTGGAAAAGGCTCGGAGGATGTTGGTGGGGAGTTGAAAAAATAAATAAACCCACAACCCGGTTGCCCCCTTTCCACGCTTTTGCTTCCAGCTTTGGCGTAGAAGAAGCGTTTGAACTCCTTCTTTTGTTTGGGAAGTTTTCTGCCCCCTTTCCCCCCCTTCATTCGCCCAGCGTTTGCTGAACCCGAGGGGGGGCGAGAGAAAGAGAGAAGAAAAAGGACTCGGGAAGCCACCATGGCGTCTGTTTTTACCAATGGACCCTGCAACCCAAGCGAAGCCGAAGTGGTTCACCTCTCCAGGAGCTTGGAAGTCGGCACCGTGATGACTTTGTTTTACTCCAAAAAGTCCCAAAGGCCAGAAAGGAAAACGTTCCAGGTGAAGCTGGAGACCAGGCAGATCATTTGGAGCAGGGGATCGGACAAAATCGAAGGCGCAAGTAAGTTGTCTGGCGTATGAAAACACACACACACATTTTAGGGAGCAGCGTCTGAGTGGAATGTGATGAGCATTTTCATCCATTTTTTTGACTCTTTATAGTACTTCGAGGGTTGAGGCTGCAGTCCTGGGGTGGAGGGAAAAACTCTAGGGAAGAAGCTCCATTTGCCACAACTGGACTTACTTGCAAGTAAATTACTTGCAAGGCATAGCTCCTGCTTGAATGAATGTAGGGGATGGAGCTGATGGTCTTAATAAATTAACAGATGCATGCATATTAATTCACCCCTGCCCTCATGTAATGCTTTCTTGGTTTTGCAAATCCACAAATGTTTAGCACACAAATGGGCTTTTAAAAAAATCTGGTCGCCTAGGGAAATCCTTACTCACTATGGCGATGACTGGCTAGTGGTGATTTACATGCCTAATTTTTGTAAGAGTCATTTGTTCTAGGGCAGCTATGGTGAACCTGCGACCTTGTTGTCGGACTCCAACTCCCATCAGCCCCAGCCAGCATAGTCAATAGTCAGGGATGATGGGAGTGATGCAGTCCAACAACATCTGGGGCCCCAACAGCTGGAGGGTCATGGCTTCCCCGTCTTGGTCCTAGAATAACGTAGGCTTGGGTTATTTTATGAGTTGTTTTGTGCAAGAACCGTCCCAGAGCAACTTGCTCTATGGTGGCTTATACAAAGAAAAATCCAGCAACGTTTACAGTGGTAATATATATTAAAAGTGACCAACAATTATACTGCCTTAAAAAGAAAATTAAAAATCCTTCCCATTCACCAAAAGGATAACCACCTCCAAACCCAAGAGATTGCCCATGAAAACAGCAGGAAGAACAGCAACAATGTTAGCACCCAAAAACCTGGTAGAACAAAAATGCCTTTGGCTGAGGATGTAAATGTTGCTGAGTTTTCCTGAGGTGACCATTCCACAAGGGGAGTCTGCCACTGAAAAGGCCCTGTCTCTCTTCTCGCAGAGAATGGCCTCAGATAACTTTTTCGGGCTCATTATTGGAGGAACAGCCATCAGTGAGCTTTTGGGGTCCTAATAATAATAATAATAATAATAATTTATTTATACCCCACCCATCTGGCTGGGTTTCCCCAGCCACTCTGGGCGGCTTCCAAAAAAACGTTAAAACACAATAGTCCTTCAGATATTAAAAGCTTCCCTAAACAAGGTTGCCTTCAGATGCCTTCTAAAAGTCCCAAGCCATGAAAAACTTTATATGTCAAAACCAGCACTTTAAATTGGACTTGGGAGCAATTCAGCAACCAGTGCAGCCACACCATAATGGGTGTGATCTATTCTGAGCGCCTATTCATAATCTGGCTGCTGAATTCTGCTGTGTTCTTCCTCTGGCACAAAGGTTACTGGCCGATCTTGGGCCAGTAAGTATATCTCAGCCCAGTTTATCCCATGGGATTGTTCTGAGGATATGAAAATACTTCTCTTCCTACAACACATAATTTATGGCATTCCCTGCTCCACAATGCGGAGATGTTTGTGGGCTTAACTTTGTAGGAGACTAGGAGTCTCATGCCCAGTGGAATTATAAAACACAGGGGGGGAAATCAGTTTAGAAATCAGTGGTAAATCCAGGGGAGATTTGAATGGTTCTGTCTGCCATCTTGATTTTTAAAAGCATCCAATTGTATCCCAAACATGGACAATATCCTGCTCCTCGATCTCAGGAACTATCATGCAAAATTTCTTAAGAAGTGTCCAAGTGCATAGAGAACAGCCTTTCTACAATATACTGCAAAGTAGACAAACTCATGGTTTATCAGTTGTGGTTATCTATAATGGGCAAATAGAACCTCTGGGTTCAGGGGCAGTGAACGCTGAATACCACATTTTTGGGGGGTGGGGTCCTGCTCAGGATCACATAATCTTGGTCCTTAAAGATCCATACTTCATACCGCCAAGCCTTATTCAAGATTCTGACATACAAAGCCCTGAAAGGGTTAGGACTGAGTTATCTGAAGGAGTGCCTCCCTGTCTGTATTGTCCTGGCTGTGATTTTAAGAGCTACTGCTTGTCATAGCATTGCCAAGTGAAAACTATGGGACAGAGCCTTCTCGGTGATGGCACCCTGGTGATGGAACAGCTTTCTTGATGTATAGCTGCCACCAACTTTAGTTATTTTTCATCACTATCTGAAAACTTTTCTGTCAAGTCTTTGGGGACGTAATCCTCTAAAGCAGTGGTTCTCAACCTGTGGGTCCCCAGATGTTGTTGGACTACAACTCCCATCATCCTTGAGCTCTGGCCTTGCTAGCTAGGGGTGATGGGAGTTGTAGTTCAACAACATCTAGGGACTTAGGTTGAGAAAGGCTGCTCTAAAGATTCTGGTGTGTACTGAGTGGAGGAGGTGAATGTTGCGTGGTCTGAACTGTGCAATATTGCTTTTGTTTTAATGCATTGGTTGATTTTATGAAGTGCTGTATTTTTATGGTTGCCACCCACCCAGAGATCATTTGGTTATAAAGGGCAGGATATAAATTTTACAAATAAATTAAATGCATAAATGGTGATGGGTGGTTATTTTCTTCATACCCTGCTTGTTGACTTTTGAGAAAGATCTGGTTAACTACACTGAGAAACAGGAAGATGGGTGAGACCTTTAGTCGGATTCAGCAGGGTACTTGTATGATAGAAAAAGTGTAGGGGTGTGTAAGTCTGTGTAAGGGGGAATCAGTTATGCTTCCCTGATGATTAATAAATAGATAAGGCCCTAGTCATACATTTGTAAGGTGCCATTATTTAACTGGGCCAGCCATTGCTGCTGAAAAGGGTATTGCAGGTGTTCAGGTTTTACCGAAAGCAAGCTTACTCGGCCTGATGGTGAATTTTGTATCACCCTCAAAGGATAGTACAAGTGTTTGGCATGCATATAATTCCAATATCCCCTTAGCTCAAACTATGGTGCACAGATTTGTATAGACACTTGCCAATGCAAGAATAACTTTTTTAAAAAATGCATTGTGTTGTGAGCATTCCCCTCCTTCCTGATGACATAAGTAGTCATGATCACCTAACCATTCCACATTTTTCCCACTTGCCCTGTTGATACATCAGAGCTGCAAGAGGAAAAGATATTTCCTGTTTTTCTCAAGTGATTGATATATATATAAATTTCATGGCAACTGGTTTTTGACTTGCACATTCTCAAGTTTGAATATTCTCTTGAAAGCTTTTTATAATTATTTTTTGGGGGGAGATTCTAAAATTTAAATTGTAACACCTTTTTTTAAAAAAAGAAAAGGGGAAAGTACAGCTTTTGAAGCAATGTAAAGCTTCTGAAAGCTTTCAGTGCAAGTTCGAACTGTGTAATTCCTGCAGGCAGGGAACAGTTAATTGTCTGGTTCTCTGTGGTGAGTAATATTTGTATCCAGGTGACAAGACAAGGAAGATTTTTTAAAATGGAAGGTATTTCTGCAGTGACTGCACGATAAATGAGTAAGGTCTGCACAAGCAGATTGGCTAGTATAAAGTTCACTGCACCAGTAACTTTTGGATTTATTTTCAAGGCTAAGTTCCTCTGTCAGATACACTGTCTGTATATTTTCCAACTTAATTCATAGATCTTCCTCAGTGAACTTCCATTCATTGTTAGGTGCTTAAAGACTGCAGTATCCCATGTAATACAAATATTATTTTCTGTGAACCTGCCTTTTTTTTATCAGTACCTTCTGCTGCCATGTTCTCTGGAATGTAGAGAGATAGTTGACAACTCTTCAGTCTAATTTGTTCCCCGTTTGTCCCTGCAGGGAGGTCCTTCATACATGAAATGTGGAGGTCTGGGGTTCTTGAATCTCATGCCAGATAAAATCTAGGTAGTGAGCAATTGAGATAGCAACACACTCTTTTCCGTCTTTCCTTGAGCTAGATAACTGTATCACTCAGCAAAAGGTCTTGTTGCACCTTCAAGACAGATAGATACATTGTGGCATAACATTTTTTTATTTTTTTATTGCGGTGTGTGTAGAAATAGAAACAGAAAGACACTGAAATGTAAGAATACAGTTCATGACATTTCATGCTTTTGGACCTCACTGTTTACATCCCTCCCCCTTTGTACTTGTGCATGTTTGTTTGAGTGAGTGAGAGAGAGAGATTAAAAATATATATACATAATCTTCACCAATTAAAGACAACAGTTCATGCATCTGAGTCAGTGGGCTCTGCCACAATAAATTTGCTGATTTTTAAAGTGCTTTTTTCCCTCTTGCTCTTTTTTTTGTTTCTGAAGTAGACTATCACAGCTACCCCTCCTGGAAATGACAAAATAAGAAATGCTAATCTCTAGAGATTAACTATTAGTCACCAATTTATCAGCCTTTCAAGCAAATGTCCCCCCCCCCTCTGCAGGATGGTGGATTGATTAGCTGTAATCCTTTTGTAAACCCTGTGAGTTGGGCCTTTAATCATACTAATTTAATATCTCTATCCAAGCTTCATGTGCATTAATTTGGGGGGTGGGGGTAGAGAGCAGGCAACAGGCCAGATTTCCAGAGGAAGAGATTTAAAATGGGATGTGTCCTTTGCACCTCTTCATTATTGTCATGGAGGTTTTTTTGCAGGCTTCAGTGTGGGGAGTAATTTTCCTTCTTTGCAGCATTGAGCTGTGATTGATGGGGTCCTGTTTCTCTTTCTCATAGTTGTTTTGCTTACAATTCCATGAGCGGATGGGGAGGAGGAGAGATGACCACGAAATAGTTGGTTTAGCATTATTTCCAAATCCAGGACCATGGTTTGTTTTGCCCAAACCACTGTGATCACTACCTGTTTTGAAGCCACGGCTTAGTTGGCTTAGTGAGCATAATTTTTTGGGTGGAACAAACCCTGTGTTCAGACAAAAGTGGTTACTTCTGATCCACCCCCACTTGTGAAAGGGGGAAAGGGAGTACAGTGGTACCTCGGGTTACAGACACTTCAGGTTACAGACGCTTCAGGTTACAGACTCCGCTAGCCCAGAAATAGTACCTC